TGCATACATATTTTCGGGTCTCGGGGTTCGGGTTTCAGCACTTGGCACTCGGAACTCAATGAATTGTGTAATGTACATGAAAAATGGACATGTTGCACACTGGGTTTCAAGTTTCACGCTTTGGCACTCGAAACTTGGTGATTTGTGCAGTGAGTGAAAAATGGACATGTTGAACAATGGGTTTCAGGGTCTCGGGTTTGAAAAATAGCATAATAACAACTTTCATGTTTTCATTATCATTTGCCTATATTGACTACCGAGTCTGATAAGAGACCCCTTGGATGATTCATTGCTCAATGAAATACTACCTGATTGGAAGTGTGCTGGTTATCAGATATTCATTTGTCGACTCCCGGGTCCCGGAACTTGGAAGTCGGTACGGTTGACCCAAATTTGGGTGGTCGGAACTTGGCATCTCATAGGGCAACACAAGCTTCACACCCTGGATTCCAAATTCTGCAAGACAACCTGTGCACCATCAAAGGCCATGTCAGGAGATCACCTGCTGCTCCGGGAACTCAGGAACTTTGATTTATTACCTCCTCTGAGTACGGCTGACCCAAAGGTTGGTAATCGGAACTTGGCTTCTCATAGGGTAACACAAACTTCGCACCCCAGATTCCAAATTTTGCAAGACAACCTGTGCACCATCAAAGGCCATGTCAGGAGATCACCTGCTGCTCCAGGAACTTGGTAACTTTGATTTTATTACCTCCTCTGATTTGGTTGATGTACAACTACCTCAGCTCCATCGTGTTTACAATTATGATACACATGGGCCCACCCATCTATATTTTATACCACCCTCGGCCCACCCGTCTAATACAACATCCCATACAACACCCTCGGCCCACCGGTCTAATTAATATGCGTCTGGGCCCACCCGTATAATACAATATTGTATAATACCCTCGGCCCACCCATCTAATTTAATATGTGTCTGGGCCCACCCGTGAATGTGATAACAAGTACCTACCCATCTATCTCATACACATCTACCTTAATACACCCATCTGCATAATATCCAACTACCTCGGCCCACCCGTCTACCTAATATTCATGTACATCGGCCCACTCATCTACTCTATATATCCCCTGCATGGGCCCACCCGCCTCCATCGGGAATAATTTGCCTCCTGGCCCATCCGTCATAGTCGAGGATATTTTGATCATGGGCCCATGGTCCGCTGGCCCGTATCATACGGGATATTATGCACGTCCATTCCCTCATATTATACGGAAATAGATCACTGTAATATGTGCACACAGAGTGATACTACAAGTTCATGCTGTGAACTTCCTAGTGAAAGGTGCCATATCGCACCATGAGAGGCATGAGTCTCTACAGCACGACCTTACAACATTTTTAGATACAGTCAGGAGCATCATTTGTTCCTCACAGTATTGTTGTTTCTACAGCGCATGCAGGTGGTGGAGCACAGCGACTCTTAATGAGTCAGAAAACTAATTGGCAGAGTTTCTAGTAATGTACGGCGGCGGTGCCCATATTGTACTTAGATACTTTAGATTTTAGAGGGAGAACTTAGACTTAGAGTCCAACAATGTGTGGGCAGAAAGATAGTCATTATACAGTTTATGCGTGTCTATATATTCTAAGTAATGTTAAGCACTGTCAAGTGCTAGAGCGAACCGAGAAGTGAAGCGGATGCGAGATAATATGTAATAAAAGGGTCCATAACGGAAAACATATGGAATATGGCCATAAGCGCCGGAGATATGTCAGAATCAATGAAAATATAATCAGAATACACACCGACAAACCGAATGGACATGGAATGGATGGACGGAGGACGGGTGACGGAACCAAGGATGGGCGCGCTGATGCACGACTAATGAGCGACTGGAGCGCTGGCGCGTGAGAGCGGCTGACGAAGTGCTGGAGCGCACTGGGTGAGATATGAGTCGCGCTATATTGGGAAGTGATAGAGACAATGGGATTTAAGATCCCTGCAAGCCCACAGAGATATTAGTCTCTACACTGCAACTGCGCAACAATTGTTCTCCTCGGTCGCATACCCAACAGCCTGGCAGACCATACCTACTTTAGAGTGTCTCACTAGCACGTGGGGGACAATGGCAGGAAATCCAGAATATGCAATAATCACGGATGCCATTAGGAAGGGTCTCAAGAATGTTGAGAAGTCCTACCAGAAAGCTAGTAACTCGGATGTCTACTTTATCTGTCTAGGTAAGTATCATTTTTTTTGCTCGAGTCCATGTCTCATTGTGTTACAGTGCTTGACCCCAACTACAAGTTAGCATATGTCAAACAGCGATGGACTGGGATGAAGGTTGTGAATGGGAAAGCTCATCTTCAAGTGGTGGTAAGTACTATTCAACCTTAAGTATCCTGCTGGTCTCTAACTTCAGATGGATGCTTAGTTTGATAAATATTATCAAGTGCCTCCGGCCCCAGGACCACATGCCAAGGAGCCAATGGCCACATCAACAACAAAAGCTTCGATTCGTTACGATGATTCCTGGATGTGTGATGCTATCATGGAACGTCAAGCCACAGACTATCGCACATGGAATCCTCATCAAGAGCTCTCCTCCTACCTTACTTCACCATTGGAGGAGATGGACAATGTTGTGGTGTGGTGGAGTGTAAGTCAGCCCTTGAATTCATTGGTTCCCCGCTTACATTCTTGATCAGTTACATTCACTGCAGTATCCAACACTAGCTCGTGTTGCGCGTGATTACCTGCCCATTCAAGGCAGTGCAGTTCCATCTGAATGCACTTTCTCCAGTGCGGGGATCACATTGACTCTGCGCCGCAACGCACTCGCACCATCCATATTCTCCGCACTACAATTGATGAAGACAGCCTATAAGAATGGACATATGTCAGCAGTAGGGGCAGAGGGGCATGCGGCTGGTATGTAGTTAGACTAGCTACCTAATGTCATGTAGATGTATTGTGAATGTTTTTTTTTGGCGCTTTGAAAAATATATGGTTTGGTTCGTGTTCAGACCACAAAAAAACTGAACCGGACCCTTAAGAACCATTCTTGCATCAGGCATTTGACCCGAGTATAACAAAGCTTTACCTAACTTTATCTGATATATAAAATAAAAAATATCTATCACAATTGCATACCACTTGATAAAGGAATAGATGACTTGACTACATAGGCAGAACATTCCAAAGCTATCATATTGGCAGACCTATAGTAGTAAGTTGTGATCTACCTACCATGGTGATCTTTTTATTGTCAAATCTACCAACTGTGACATAGGTGGCTTCCAATTACAAGGTCTGCCATCACTGGCACTCTGCCCAGGTATGACAAACTGTACCCAGCTAGATATAGGCAGCCTCCATTTGTGAGGTCTACCATCATCAGATATTCGAAGAAATATAGCAAAGCTTTATCAAAAATGCAGAAAACTTGATAAAGGAATAGATGGGTAGACTACGTAGGTGAAATTCCCCATAGGCCATCATATTGGCAGACTTATAGTAGTAAGCTGCAATCTACCTACCATGATGATGCTGTTATTGTCAAATGTACCAAGTTTAACTAGCTGTATATGTATAGCTTCCAATTGTGGGGTCTACCATCACTGGCACTGTGCCCAGGTATGACCAACTGTATCAAACTTGATAAAGGAATAGATGGGTAGACTACATAGGTGAAATTCCCCGTAGGCCATCATATTGGCAGACTTATAGTAGTAAGTTATAATTTCCTAGCATGGTGACATTGTTATTGTCAAATGTACCAAGTTTAACTAGCTGTATATGTATAGCTTCCAATTGTGGGGTCTACCATCACTGGCACTGTGCCCAGGTATGACCAACTGTATCAAACTTGATAAAGGAATAGATGGGTAGACTACATAGGTGAAATTCCCCGTAGGCCATCATATTGGCAGACTTATAGTAGTAAGTTATAATCTCCTAGCATGGTGACGTTGTTGTTGTCAAATGTAACAAGTATGACTAGCTATATACATGTAGCTTCTAATTGTAGGGTCTGCCATCACTGACATTATGCTCAGGTATGACCAACTGTATCTAGTTATATATAGGCAGATTCCAATTGTGAGGTCTACCATCATCAGGCATTTGATGAAATCTAGCAGAGCTTTATCAAAACTGCAGAAAACTTGATAAAGGAATAGATGGGTAGACTACGTAGGTGAAATTCCCCGTAGGCCGTCATATTGGCAGACTTCTAATAGTAAGTTATAATCTCCTAGCATGGTGATGTTGTTATTGTCAAATGTAACAAGTATGAGACCCTTTGGTAGTCAGTTATAATTTATCTACCATGGTGATGTTGTTGTTGTCAAATGTAGCAAGTATGAGACATTTGCTAGTCAGTTATAATTTATCTACCATGGTGGTGTTGTTGTTGTCAAATGTAGCAAGTATGAGACCTTTGATAATCAGTTATAATTCAACTACCATGGTGATGATGTTATTGTCAAATGTACCAACTATGACTAGCTGTATATAAGCAGCTTCCAATTGCAAGGTCTGCCATCACTGGCAATGTGCCCAGGTATGACCATGAATTGTAAGACATACCTTCCCTTACCATAGCTGCTTCTGATTGCGAAGTCTACCATCATCAACAATAAGTCTTGGCACTACAGTGAGTTGCCAGGCCACAGCAAGTTGTTGATTCTATACCAAATGCATCTAGCAATATATAGGCAGCTTTTGATGGGGGGAACAAACATCTTTGACAGTGAGTTGAAGCACTACAATGAGTCATCTTGCCAAAGCAAAATGCTGGTACGTTGTCAAACGTAACTACTCTTACATGTACTGTTTCCAATGGTGGAGTCTAACATCATTGACAGGAAGATGATGAGTTATCTCATGAAAGCAATAATTCAGTCACACATAGTATTACACACATGTAGATGGATTCATTGTGTTCTAGTATTATATTTACACAACATTGTCTTGCATTCATTAATTACGGAGACTATACAAAACAACAAAATTATGAGAAATATCATATTAATTTGTAACAGTATTAGCTCGCTCCTGAAGGGCAGCGCGTTTTTCACGAATCTTTGAGAGCGCGCTGTTTTTGCTAATACAACGCTGCAACGATGAAGAGTTAGGAAAAACGCGACTGTACAAGGTATTAGTTTGGAGCTTGAGGTGTATGGAATGCATAACGAACCGAGTCCACCACAGCATCAGGTCGCCTACCTCCTCACTTTCATCAGTATCTTCTAACAGATCTAGAATGCTATGGTAGAAATTCTCCGAGTCCGTGACCGTGTCGGTACGGGAGAATACGGACAACGAACTCAACGCAAATCGAACCTAAAATAACAATCAATAGGAAAGAAATGCGGTTATGAATTTGCTACGTACCTGCGTGGCAATATAGGCCAAGGATCCTTTGGTAACAGACTTTATGCCATGAAGGTACGCATTGCCGGAGCGCGTTGCCTTTGGCTCCTTATCTACTGAGCTCGGCGATGTAAATACATGTTTGAACCCCTACGAAAGGACCCTGTTATGTGCGAGAATTTTAAATAGACTCAACTCACGAAAATAAGTATATCGCTCCTTAATAATCCCTTCCATGGATCTTCGGGATCGTAAACATGACCTGCATATAAGAATATAGGCCACTGGTCACCACGAACTGCGGTTTCACTGCTCTTCAGACCCTCCTTGGTTCTGGGTAGAGTAGTGACATTTCAGTTATTTTGCGCGGTGGAAAGACTTACTCTATAGTCGACCAGTCAAGTCCTGCAGGGCAAAGCAACGCGCCCGTGACTTTGTGGTTGAATCCTCGGTCAGACTTGATGTTTCGGGAAAGAGGGGGTATGACTACTTGTCCTCTGGGGACAAGCCATTCGAGGACAGCAGATTTAAGTGTTTTAGTATCATCGCCCCGCGCGCCGGACGCCCCTTTACCTAGCTGTTACAAGGTAAATCGTATGCTGACCTTCAGTTACTTAAAACTTACCAATTCTCCTACGTGGATAACATCCTCTTCCTCTCCGTCCGTCAGACGATCCAAGAGGCCAGGATAGGAATCCAACAACTCCAGGAATACCCTGTGTTCCCGTCGGATACTAATATCAGGGGTACCGTAAGCGATAACTGTATCTGATGCTCATGATTGAACTCACTCCGCGGGATAGTCCTCTATGAGAGAGTCCTGTAATTCATTGAGTCGGAGTATACCTGAAGTCAGGAGGGCAGGGTAATTACACAATGCAAACACCGTTCGACCAAAATGCTGACCGTGGAGAACAAGGGGATTCGATGAAACTCTGACCATGACAAGTCAGGAGGTTCGTCACCATGTGAAAGATCACTTACGCCTTTTTACGTGGACCCATCTGAAGGGCTGAACCACATCGCTTGCGTAAAAGATCGCCAGAGGAAGGATTGTTCTCGTTGGTACTCATACTACAAGTAGTACGTAGGTATGATACCACTAGCATGGAAAATGAGCCGCTTTATATGTCAAAAGTTTGATAGTACGTAATGAAAAGACGATGTGCTGGCCGTGTGCCATCGATATCGTAACGAAAAGACTCATCATCCGAGTGCCATCGATACCGTAATGCAATGAACAGGAATAGTTGCCGTGTCCGGGCTATCGTAACGGGGATTAAAAAAAACTAGGGTTTAGGGCCGGTTAGTGTCCTCTGCGAGTTCAACTTTGAACTGAAAGAAAACTTCACCATGTGATAGCCATAGGTATTCTAAAATAATCAGATTGCCTGCTGCGCCTCTAGGGTGTACAGCTGGCGAACAACTTTTCCTCCTCTCAAATAGAGGTCACAACCTTTTGGCCAAAGGTAATCAAAACGATCATTGAAATGAGCGAGGATTGATGATCGTCGACGGTCAGCCTTGTCAACTGATGAGGTGACACGGCGTCCCTGTGTGCATAATCTGGAAGAGCATAATACATCAAGCAGCAAAGGGTAATCGCCATCGAGGTCGCTTACAAAGAATGCGGTCTGCCGGATCGCCATCGCGTGTAGTCTCCTGGTAATACCTGAGACAGTAAGCAACTTTTCAACAAAACGTACTTGTAGACTCGTGACGTACCCATCCATCGACTGTGGTAACGTTGAGTGGATTACGAAGCGCACTATTCGACGCGGTCAGACAGAGGGGAGTGAATAAACACAACTTTACCATATGGCTTGTCGATTCCCATCTCAAACGCCATCCAAGATAAAATCAGAATGGAGTTGCAATATTGGGGGCTCGTCAAGGTCCTCCCAAAGATCATCGCTGTCAGGCATAATTAGGGTCTCAGCCAATACATCAGTATCGGCTGGCTCAAGCGGGCTGTCGACATCGATATCTTCTCGTTCGAGGACACTCGAAAAATCGGTAGGCGCAGCAATAGATGTGGGCGGAGCTAGAGCCGGCTCACTGATAGGGTTGAAGCGATCCAGGCGTTCTTGGATAGCTTCGATGTGAAGCCTACGTAGACTCTAAGCAAGGAAGTTCACACAGTACAGTACACTCACAATAAAAATGGTATTTCAAAATGTCTAGCAGCTTGTTCGCGTGTTCTGATATTGTTGCGAATGAATAATCGTGCACTTCGCGAAAATAGAGATGCGTACCTTTACAGATCTATCATGCCGCTTGTTCTCTGGCTTCTGAGTCTTTGATGTGTTCCTAAAATAGCGCAAGGTTGAGAACCGTCATGGTGATGGGGTTTTAGTGTTGGTAGTAGCATTGAACTCGAATTGTGTACTAATATAGGTATCGGAACACCGTGACTACAGTACACTTAATCAAAGGGTGTACAGGACTACTTGAATGACATTACTATCATATACCAAGTCTACAAACCGTAATAAATAACACTAGCAAAAGTAGTAGGTACTAGGTACAGATGGGAGTTCGGAAGAACGCAACTGTATGATACAACGTGCCAATTATAGTGAATGACTATATTGAAACTCAGCCAAAATGACTAAGCGGGTACTGCCGGCTGACTCTGAATACGTAGTAGTCGTTCACTATATCTCCTGTGGCTCGTTAAGGCCGTCGCCAGAGAAGATGAAGAATATATCACGTACCTGAGATATGTCAAGCTACTGAGAGGAGGCTTGTGCGGAAACTCGACTCCTGCCTGCTGCCAACTATTATGATCACCATTATCATAAACTACATGAATGTCTTTCTTTACTGCGAAAGACGTTGACAGATCGAGTAGCTGTTGCGACAAAGGTCTAGTCAGACCAGGGTCTATCAAAGGTTTGTAGATTTCAAGAACACGCGTAGCTTGACATCAAGTTCGACCACGCAGCTTTTATCCGGGTGCCGTGTATCTACTTTTGAATAAGAAAAAAAAAATGATCAACCTGATCTATGAAGATCGTGTCCCATAGGAAAGCAGCCATTTCACGAGCATACGCCACAAAGTCCGTGGATTCATCTTGGGAATACCTCATCAACCACGTAACCAGCGGCTTGATATACAATAACCCACCGTCTGAATCTGCCCGCTTGATATACTCGTGTTTGATCTTTTTAAAATCAGCTGCAACCTGCCCGTGCTTCCATATCATATGGTTGTCCTGCGTAATCATGTGAGTTTTGGAACTGAAAGCACACGCGACTGTCTACCTCGGATATTATGTTGTGAATGATCTTTAGCAGCATTAATTGATCTATGGTGTCGAAGCATACTTGCACGTCAACTTTGACGAAATATAGTTTCGGACTATGAAATACACGAGTCAGTGATACGAATCCAATTGAATTGATAAATCACACAGTTTTCCTGAGGGTGCGTCCTTCGATAAATCCGTCTTGAACCTCTTCAGCTTTTGGTATCTTGTTGGAGCTGAAAACGGACGCTCCAAGGAGGTCCGGTTGTTGTTGCTAGCCATGACATCAGCAAGAGTCATTTCAACGTAGCACGAAATGAGCCACCTTCTCATATGTCAGAATCGCAAATGTCGTCTTCAGAGTCTGGTTGATTGATAGCGGTGGCCTTGTAGACTGACCCTGCCTAGCAATGTGCAAGAGTTCAACCAATTTCACTGAGAGAAACGAACCTTGGGGTTTGCTCTTCGTCGTAGATTAACAATGGGGCGAACACCAGTTTCCTTGGGCAGCAAGCGGATGAAGGCAGATCTGAGTTGTCGTTGGCGCAAGATCTCTTCTGCTTCATGCTACAGAAGCGTAAGAACTAAGCCACACCAGTAATTCAAGACAAACCTTCTCGACCTCTTGGAAGGTCTTTTCACTTAGTCGGTCTATCAAAGGTGCACAGAGGATTTCTCAGTCATCTTGACGAAAGTAAAGAACGTGCTTTCGCAATGCGGATGACTCCGTGACGTAGAACGTCGTCTGGAAATGTTTGTGTCAATACTAAGATGTCTCCATCTTAGTCGAAGAAAATACGAACTCTAAGAAGCGGAAGCAGGAAGGAGTCGAAGTACCAGAAGAGAAATTCTTCAAGAAGTTCACGACGTTTGAGAGAAAACGTCACAGATACTCTATGCTGCTTCCGGGCACCCTCACCGGGAGGCATCAACCAGTCGCATTCTGACGTGCTGAAACCTTGAAGTACGTGATGTAATGTAGACGTTTCAAATCTCCAGCATATAATGAATTCATTAAGATCTGATCAGTGTTAGCCAAATTTAAGCGTGTGAGAGATAAACACACATACAGCCCTGAAAAACCTCAAAATTCTTCTCGCATCCCCAGAAAGCGTTCGGAATAACAGCCTTAGTCACGAGTATAGCATGGCGAAAAACCTAGTGAAACGGTTAGGGATAATGCATGCACGAGTCTCTGAGTCGCACCTTGGCGTGACTACAAGTGAATTCCAGGAATCGCGGTTTGTGTTCTATTTCATTTTTACCCGGAACTCAATCTGCGATGAGGCTGTTTCCTACAGAGTCAATCGTCATGTTCATTTGCGACGCTTGCGATTTTAGTTGGATTGAGTTCTCAGACACCATTTCCTGCCAAACAGATAGGAAAAAAGCTGTGACAGTGTTCTATTTTGCTCACCAGTATGATGCTGCTGTCCATCGTCTTGTTGTCCGTTATCGTGATCTATGAGCGAAGATGAGACTAGTGCGCGCTGTGACTTGAAGCTTGTCTACCTTGGATGGACAAACTGTGTCTCTAAGTAGCTTATAATGACATTTGCCATGTCGCCAGATCATCTTGTCCAAAAGCACAAGCACGTCCTTCAGCTGCTTCGGTGTCTTGCATGTTCCAAAGAGCTATAAAATACACGCATTCATTCGATGTCTGTGTACCTTGACAGACCTAGCCTCACCTCAATTTCACGCTCTCTGTCAGCAAAATTCGGCTGCTTATAGGTTTCTTTAGCGGCTGACGGCTGGCTGAATACGTTGGATAGACCGTATTGCAACGGAAAGATATATTTGCTCAGATGTCTGAGCCTTCTGTGCTTGCAGGCGCGGGTCAGGGTCCTGATATGCGCCAGCTTGTGGCTGCGCTTGACGAAAGTAAGAAGGATTCAACCGGTTGATATGTATGGGAGTTTACGGGTACAAGGCAAGCCCACAACGATACTTTGCGACGCACGATCACGATTCGGTCGCGCGTAAAACATCCGTGCACGACTCGGAATGAATGAAATATCGTGCTGATGTTCGTCTGATGAACTGGTCAGCGAAACGAGCAAAATGCAGTAATATCCCTTCTCTCACCATTCCGAAGGAATAGCGTCCAACTGGATGACACTCTTCGAGGGAACTTTACCGTGACTCCGGAGGTTCTTCCATCAAGATTTGACCATTCTGGGTTTTGCAGAGCCGTGATAATTGTGTTCGCAAAAGTGTAAGCAAAAGTAGTACTAGGTACTAGGTAATAGGTAGTAGGTAGTAGATAGTAGGTAGTAGGTACTAGGTACTAGGTACTAGGTACAGATGGGAGTTCGGAAGAACGCAACTGTATGATACGACGTGCCAATTATAGTGAATGACTATATTGAAACTCAGCCAAAATGACTAAGCGGGTACTGCCGGCTGACTCTGAATACGTAGAGTCGTTCACTATATCTACTGTGGCTTCCCCTATCATTGTTCCTTTTTCGACTCCACAATGTAAATTTTCAGCTTGCGATTGTGATTAAGTGAGTATGTGCTGCTAGTAGTTAGTGAATGTGGGTAGTGGGTATGTGGGGTAGACCTGATTTGTACAGGACTTCAATAAAGAAAGCTTGAACGTCGGACTCGGACTCGTCGGAGACTTGACAATTTGTGTCTCAGCGGCGCCACTGGCACGAACTTGTAATTATGTAGTATCGGTCTGATGTGTTGTGCCATTGTCAAGGAATTCTCATGGGCAGTGGTAGTATTAGTCCTGCGTTATTGTGCAGCAGTCCACACCGTGACAACGGCACTCTGAGTCAGTGCTCAGTGGTACTAGCAGTCTAGGCCACAATTGATATTGTACCATTGTCATAGAATTCTTGGCACGGGCTGTGGACTCAGCACTGCACTATTGTGCACTGGCAGCAGGGGCCACACCGTGACATCATGTAGCGCCTGATTAGTCATTCACTATAAATACTGACCCTCTATCTCTTGAAGGTCTTCTTTCCGCTGTAGAGACTCGTGCATCTCATAGTGTGATATGGCGCTTTACACTAGGGAGTATACAGCACCAACTCGCAGCATCACTCTGTGTACCATCCACAGTGATTCCTATATGACGCGCAGCTTTCCCACGCAACGCGCGCCATGCGCGCACCATTCCCGCGCTTCACGATGTATACGCGCGCGTGCGTTCCCGCGCTTGCGCGCCCTATAGCGCCAGCCATCCAGATGCATCCATCCACTGTCCACCAAGCTCCCTAGTGCGTATATTCCATTTCCTTTATTAGCATAGTTCCACCTTTATTTTTATCATAGTTTCTCACTCATATATATTTTTACATACCTACTCGGTAGCGCTTCGGCTCCGCATGAGCGCGCTTAGGCGCGCTATATAAGCGCCAGCAGTACATACTATTATGTACCTTACTTTTCACCCAACTTTACCTAGTACTTACTACTTAGAAAGTCGCAGTAGAAATCTATTCATTAGCACAACACATCTCACATCCTTTATCTTGCTTATATCTTCACATAAGTTTAGTCTCTCTTATTTCCGCTTACACGCGCGCGCTTTCCTGTGCTTCGCGCTAATACGCGCGCGCGTTCCCGCGCCTTTGTACCTTGCGCGCTCCTGCGCTTTCTCGCGCTTCGCTTAAGCGCACACTTCTAGATCCTTGCTGCACTCACTTCCCCTATAGGGTCGAACGCACTTGTCTCCTCAAGCAACGCAGACTAGGCAACGCGCGACCTATCAACATTTATAGATACTGCCAGGAGCATCATTTGTTCCTAGTAGTATTGTTGTTTCTACACCGCTATAACTACTTCGATACTGCATCACTAGGAATAGTAAAAGAATAGCGTAGAGAACCTTTTTTTGAGAAGATTCAAATAGAACTGTATGTCAGGGTTTCATGTTCACTACTAATGATAGACAATTGATCATGCAAGTTCCAGAAGGAGGCTCCGAATCATGTCGCAGCCCAATATGAAACGCACATTAGCGCCAGCGTCATCGGACAGTGATGACGAACCTAACCCGAAGCGCGTCAGAAGCGAAGGTAAGTCATGACTGTTATGCTGTCAATTATCTTGGTGACTCATAGATTGGAACATATGATACAGGCAAATCTCCACTGGAGGATGAAGGCGCATGGCGCATCCTGTTCCAGTACCTCACCACTGAGATGACCTATCCTCAGATGGAAGAGGACTTCATATCTTACCTTGGCGACAGATACTGCGCGGATGACTGGAAGGACGCCCGAGACGCGTTATTCTCTGCTGACGACCTGAATGATAACGCAACTCCCTTGGCGAATCTTCAGGTTTTGTACACGAAGCATGTACCTCAGGCTTCTCTATCGAATAGGGCGGGCCCACCAGAAGATTCTCAGGTCATAGTATCTGCACCGAGGACGCTTGGACGCTTGTCGGACACTCGCAAGAGCCATACAAGCCGCCGATCACGTCAACGACCCAAAGTAAGTGAAAATTGTAGTTTCGGTGAATACATACTGATCAAGTGCAGCCGAAGAATCCCTTCATCGACGCCAAAGCAGATGAGGGCTCAAGCGACGACGACGACGACGACGACGAGGAAGAGGAGGAGGAGGAAGGGGGAGAGGAGGGCAGTCGCTCTCAGGTTCGGTCACCGAAGGTCACGAGCTTGCCAGGACCATCAGGCAAACAGACTTTTTTGTCGGCAGTCGACAACATCTTCAACGAAGTCAACACATTGAAGTCATCAGACAGGCGCCTTAAAGTTCCTTACAGAGCGGCCTGGTGCCCCGGCACGATTGAAAGCAAGATGTACCTACTGCATGTTCACAGTATGTCCGTCTTTCGTGTAGTTTTATGTCACTCATCACTTCACAGGAACTGCAACTGACTATATCACTGCACAGCTTCGGAGCAAAGGACTTCCGGTCACCGTTTTGGCTTGGATCCCAGGCCAGATATACATGGTGTCTGATAGCCCGAAAACGATCGCGTCATTCCTCCTGACCGCGCATAAACAATCTGTCCGAGAATATCTTCGTATCTCAGACGAAGAACGTCAAGAGGTCGAACGTGCACGACCCAAACTTCCCAACCCGGGGTGGGTGCGAATCATTCAACGCGGCAAATACAAAGGCGACATAGCCTATATCTATGATTCCAAGCAGGCTGACGATTTTGTCGTGGTCTTAATCCCCCCGCGGTCTTTTCCCTATCCCGTGTCTGAGAAGTCTGCGGCTGCACTGTTAGACAGATGTCGACTCCCGGCAAATGGTGCAGTATCCGATATCACTCATCACGGCGAAGTTATAGGATATTCGTTCAAAGGAGAAAGATATTATATGGGGCTGTTACTCAAAAGATTTCATCATTCTGACCTAGAGCTTGTGACGACCCCTCATCCCGACTACATTCGACTCCATCTCCAATCTGGATGGGACACACCCTTCGTCAAAAGCATTGAGCTGGCGTTCTCTATGCAGTTCCTCCGCGTAGGCGATGAGGTTAGGGTCATCTCTGGAGAGATTTGTTCAGAGATCGGAAAAGTTGTCTCAACAGATCATGGGTTAGGTTGTGTGTCGGTGGAATTCAATTTCGATATTCAACATCGAACGCAAGTAGACTTCCGACTTCGGGATATAGAACGCGTGTTTCGACTCGGCGATTCGGTTCGAGTTATAGCGGGTGTATACTTGGGTTTGGAAGGTCACATCGTTCAAATGTCCGACAACGTATTTCATATTTGTCAAGAGGCAACTAAAGAAGAGGTGTGTATGAACAAACAATATGATGTCAACTCTACCTAACGCTTTGTATAGATTGAAGTTTCGAAACACTACTTGGATCGCCGTCCTCTGAAGCATGTGCTGCAAAAACAGCTGTCAACGCAGCAATTATTCGAGCCTCCTCCTGAAACCAATACAATGGAAATAGGGGATTATGTAGAGGTACTTGCCGGTCAGTACGTAGAGAAACACGGGAACATCGCCTGGTTTCCTCCGGGAGAACCACCGTCTGTATATGTACGGGTGGACGACAAGATATATAGTTCAGGACTGATGATGATTGAAGTGCTTTTAGTCTGGGTTCAGCGGATCCGCATCGCCCAGACAATAAAGTACACAAAGGACAAGGGCTATGATGTCAGGCCTGGAGATTTTGTGACTGTCGCTCGCGGGCCGGAGTATCAGATGACAGGGGTCGTGCAAAGCGTCGACCTTCCAACAGCTCGCTTGACCCTATCATCTCAAACTGATGGAACATTGGTAAGTCTAGATCATCTCAACTCGATCATCTCTAATTGGTAATAGATTAATGTCCCCATACGGTTCGTCGTGAAGATACGCAACGCGAGCCTAGATACCTTCAAGAGCGTTATTGGCAAAGAAGTATTCGTTATCCGCAGTCAGCATAAGGGCTACAGAGCCACGCTATACAATATAGGGAGGGAGGATTGCTCTGTTGCACTGCACGGGCAGAAGCATATACTACTCAAACTCCCAGAAGTGGCCACTAGGTAAGCTGTATCCACGTTTCTGCACTAATTTAATTGCTAACGGTTGTAAAGTTATGGAATGCGGTTGAACGGTACAATGCTCGAAAGACACGAGTTAGTTTCTTTCTGTGAAATGCGGCAGAAATCGTACTTGAAGCCACCGCCTCGAAGTGTCACTCCCCCACCCCAGAAAACGGCCTCCTCCCACTCTCTCACATGTTCCAACATGCTGCCTTCCAGCGCCCTGAACAACTGGACTGCCAGTTCCGAGGATGTTGACGGGGCGATAAACCAATCATTGGCCGTCGATTCGTCCACCTCGTCTCAGACGATACCTGACCCTTGGACTGTCGATCCACAGGACAATGAGGACAGACAGGAGAAAATTCAACATCATGGTGAGTCCTCAACGACGGCACAGAATTTAACTAATTTTATCGTAGGCCCGCTACCTTGGTTAATGAAGAAGGAGTTTGCCTCAACCTTACTTTCGTATCACGTGGTGTTGAAAGTCTCACCGAGTTTTATGGGGGGCAGGTTACACAAGCGGTTCGTATCAACCGCATGTCCAGACCCCTTCTGCGGTGCGAATGGGCCCGCACCCGAGAATTGTGTAGCAGCATTTTGCACGTCCAATGGCACGGGGGGCGCAATCCAACACTATCACATACCTGCCCATGACCTCAGTCCAGCTCCTCCACGCAAAAAGAACCAGCAGTGCCTTATTTTGGATGGGGAGCATCGCGGGGCCATCCTAACCATAGCGAAGTGCAATGTCAAAAAAAATACTGTGGAGATGTTTACAAATACTAGTATTACTACAGCTCCCTTCAAGCTAGTACTAGTTACTCTTCGTTTCGATCAAATATGTCTCGTAGAACCTATGTCACCTTCGATCTGAAACTAGTTTAATCAGTAGTACTAGCCTTACCATCATGCTCGGCCGCCGCGAATGCTCAGAGTAGTAAACCGTAGATAGCAGTAGTGGTTTCAGTGAAATTCATCAAGTGAAACCATATGATCATGATAACTTCTGAGAGTCAGCAAAAATGGGAATACATGGTTTTGGCTCGTAGTACTAGTAACTCTACTTCAGATTGGTTCTCCAAGGCTAGTAGTACTATGTGCTACTATCCACACATACTAGTAATCATGGACTCCCAGATTTCACCTATGTTTTGTGTGAATGAGTTGTATTCTATTTCAAGTTTAAGTTCGAGGCACGACTCGGAGAACAATTAGATAGATACAGTAATTTCATGTCCTTCCAAAGTTAGTACTACTCGCAACCCCTCCACTTGGCATTTGACTACTCTGGATAATTCTATTGAGAAACCCCCCATGGGAAACAAACCCTTACAAACCTCACCCCCAAAATAGACCTTATCCAAAAACCTTTGTTAACCAATAATAGTGTCTGTAGCCACCGGCGCCAAACAGGCAATTTTCTTTTACTACTAGTAAGTCGTCCGAGTCGGAGTTATTCAACTGACTGGCATGCGCTGTCTGCCATTTGTCTGGCAATTGATTTAAAAATCACTGTTACTTGTGCTATAAGGTATCAATAAAGGCCACTAAAGTAAGTAACTGCAACTTGAGTCAAGTTGAACCAGAGTCACTGAACCCTGGCCAGTAGTACTTCACATGTTGCTCGTGTATGTCCTGCCTGACAACAAAAGCCACAAATATTATATTGTGAGAATCTATGAACACAGGTACTAGAGTAGTAGACTTTTGAATCAAATTTGATTTCAATTTCCTTTGTTTGCAGCTAGGACACACCAGCCAGTAGACTACAATCTACAACCACTATCTATATTGAATGTGAGCTACTCCCGGTTGCTGGCCAGTGACCATTAGCGAGAAACCCTCTATTGTTTGATAGTTGTAAATGGGTTTGGATTACTAAGCTACAAACCCTGGGGTTTGTTTCCCATGAGAGGTTTCTTAATAGAATTATCCGACTACTCTTGTGTTTTGTTGCACACTGTATAATTTTGACCTTAGGTTCATCACACTGTAGCTAGCTTGATGAACTGAACCTATGTTTTGTGACATAACATATGATATGTTTGTTTTTAGATATGTTTTTATTATTATGAAAACAGGTACTCAACCACTTTTTCCCTCCTCATTGTCATTTGTGAACTATATTTGTGTAGAAAGTACATATATTATCCTACTAGTACTACATATGAACCTTGTGAAGTTTGTCACAGCTGTCCTCAAGAGCACCTGGATAGCCCGTTTGGGAAGCCTCATTAGGCTTAGCAATAGTGTGCCTTGTCAACTATATTTAGGCTCCGAAATGGTAATATCCAAACATCAGCGTTAAATAACGCCCCAAATATTCTGATACCTCTATCTACTGTACTGTAGGCTATATAATTTACTAGCTGGCGTGTATCCTGCCTTATCCCGCCCCATGCTTGATTCTGGCAGTTCCCGCAAATTGCCCGTCTTGGTCATAGTAGTGGTTGATCTGGCGGGTTCCGAGTCATGCCTCCTACCACCCCCTGCACTGCTGCACACCGCGTGGTGCTGCCGTCCCCTCTGTAGCTCAGCAGCCATCACCCAGGCCATCACTGCCCGCTACAATGTCTGCTTCACCCCAAAACCCAGCACCTCCGAGCAGTGGTCTGTGCGCCCCCAGCATGCTGCCTGCACCAACCTGCCTCCCACCCTATCATCCTTGCCCACCACTGCCCTCTACAATGCCTGCCCCAGTGCTCAAGTGGTCTGTGTGCCCCCGGCATGCTATCTGCACCAACCTGCCTCCCAATTTCAAATTATCCTTGCTGTCTGCAACCATATTCTACAATGCCCAACCCCGCCTGGTCTCAGCTACTCACCTACACCCACTCATCACAGTTGGGGATCACACTATTCATATTCTGGATATCTCTGAGTCAGCTACTTAGCTACTTGCCTACACCCACAGAGTTGTTGCTTGGGGATTGCACTATTTAGATGGACGGTCAAGTTTCATGGACATCTCAGCTACTTGCCTTCGCCCACAGAGTCATTGCTTGGGGATTGAACTATTCAGATGTCAAGTTTCATGGACATGCCAAGACCACCTCCGATGCGGCCATCCTGTCTGTTCGCTGCTTTCTCGAGCGTGCAGAACAACAAGAGGTTGCAGCTGTCAGCTTGAATAGGTATGTCTTCTCATCCTTGTTGCTTGCTTCTAACTAACACTGATCTCTCTTAGAGATGTCGAGTGAGGGATGCCGTTGGGGGCCAGCATATCATTGAAAGGACTTTCGAGTACCTGTAGCACGAGGACATCATTCAATCATAGCACTTGAGAACTGTGTACTATGTAACAATATATCATCATGTTTGTGACACACCACCGTGACCTCCATTCTGACGTCAATGAGTGATGCAAGCTACTAATTGACGACACATCAAACTAGTAAGAACAGGCTATGGCTTCCGAAATAACATTAGCTAAGTCATGGTATAAGGGACCTCCCTCACTCCAACAATGAGCTCCACAATGCAGGTGCTCGGTCTAAGTCAGCCAACATTGCCTTGCTGTCGAAGGAGGGAATGATAGAGTTAGGACCTTCATCTGCCAACGGTTGTTGCACAGGAGAATCAGAAGGCTGTGGAATGGAAGGAGATGCAGAACCAGTGGCAGCAACACCCGGGCCCAGCAGATGGGGCTGCTGTGTTGTGAGGCTTGGCTGGCTCTGCAGCATCACTGCTGTTGCTGCCATCCTCAACAGTCTCTGCACTCTTTTACTATTTGTGAAGAGTAGTTGCAGACATTGCTGCGCTGCGGCGCTTCGTCCCTTTGTCAGATCGAGTGCAGCGATGGCAATCAATTATCTTGCCACTCTTGAGCTTCTCTTTGTGCTCCAGACAGAGTTTCTCGAATTCTTCATCACTCAGGGACCTCCAGAACATCATACCTTGATCTCACCTATTGCAAAGCATCTGGAGGTCTGGAAGCGCACTCAATACTTGACTAAGATTTGTAAATGGAATTTTATCGGGCCATCCTTCCACAACAATCTGGTACTGCTGAACAATGTTGCGGAAGTAATGTGCCCATTGCATCTTTGCACCGGGGTCACCAGTACACTCTTCTATTAATAAAATTTAAATCAATTCATTGTCATAAAGGCAGGAAAAAAACTTACAAAGCTTTCGGTTGATGGCCCGGGTGTCGCAGATTTCTGCACATTTATCAGAGACACGTTTCTGGTGGTTTTTCGCAGAACCTGAATATAATCAGAACAATATAGCAATAAGAACAAAGACACTAACCTTTCATACCCTGGATGGCGACACCTTCCATTTTACTCACTAAATCTTGATTATTGATCCCCATGACGGTATCCATGAAGTTGTCAACACCTTGAGTGGCAAACACAATACCTTGGAGGGGAACATCAGTAGATCCACATGTAGTGTAGAGAATAGATTCCGCACCCGTATGATATTGGAGGCTCTTGAGCTAGAACATGTGAGGCGATGTCAGAGACAAACACAACAGAGAACATACCTCGTTTTCCACTGCCTTCAAGGTTTGTGTGATATCATTGATTTTTGACTTTGCTGCTGTGGTGCGAACACCGGTCTTCTTCATCTCCTTCCACGCAGTGAACTCAGTGAGAAGGTCATCTTGTTGCTCCTTTGAGAGCGTGAGGTATTCAGACTTGTGTTCACAGACAGTTAGTACCATGGCTATCTGCAAAAAAACAATGCATGAGTACTATGATAGAGCACGACAACATGATATGAATGAAAACTTACTGTTCTCTTCATCTTGGTTTTTCTTCCAGCAGAACACATTCCATAAATTGGCCTTAGAGCACTTTGAGCAGAGAAGTCCACGACCTATGTATAAATCATTTTGAACTTGGCAGATGCTTTTATGGTGTGAAGTTCCAATTGTTTTGGTAGCATCGTCAAGCTGCTTCCATGTGTCATCTAACACATCCTTGAACTGAAGGGATTTGGCACACCGCTCGAGCCTGAGAGCAGCACGGGCTTCTTTACTGAGGACAACCTTTGGACATCGATGGGCAGGTGGCTGAGTGTCTCACCTTGTTGGCAAAAAATGACTGGGCAACCATTGGCTACAAGCAAGCAGCCGAGAATTAGACAATGGCCCACAAATATTTGTCCAACTATTTAACACACCGAGAAAAGGTATTTTTCAAGTCCATTGCGGTTAGGGTCAAATATCACACTATTCCATACTAAGCAAGGTGAAAACATTTGAGATCTACAGTAATATAAAACAAAAAAGGTAAAGCGCACACAAGCACATCAAGATGCCAAGGACCTTGAAAATGGTGCTAAGCACTGATGACCAGTGCTATGGACATAAATTAATAAAAAAAATGCAAAGAATGGAATGCGACTAACCTTCAATTTGGCAACCTCAGGGTTGATGTCCCTCATACCTACCTGTAGGTCCATGAGGAGGGCTTTAGACAAAATGGAAGCTTCTTCGTAAGTTAAGTCCCATGTCGGGGACCTAAACACTGCCTCTCATCAGCTGCTGCGAACTGTTCCAACTAAAGTTCAGAGTTTCGGCAAATTCTCGTCACCTAACTTCAACCGATCAAGTGCAGCATCTGTATATGGCCCAATACTAATAAGTGGTGACCCAACCATTGACAGATTGTAAGCGAGTTGTTGTCCCTGAGTTGGTGCTACAACAAGTGGGGTTGCCTTGGAAAATGCATCAGCCAGCTGGCATCAATGCATCTCTGAGTGTGGCGTTGATGGCGTAGTTTGGTTTGCAGATCCAGCAGCCAATTCAATGCCATGACAAATGGCAGCAGAGTCCAAATAAAGGAGAGGGGACTGCAGATTGGTGAAAAAAGTACCGGGGGGTTGCGCAGAGCATTGGATTTGAGCTCCTGTGGCAACCATAGGTGGAGCCTGGAGGTGTTGTGGACCGGTAGCGTCAATATTAGTTGCAGGGACTAACTTGTGTTAGCAATGCAAAGAATATAATAAAACTTTATTTACTTACAGCGTCTACTGGGTTTCACCTTTTCAATGGCACAGTGGGTAGAAAAACGCTGCAGATGAGGTACTGCGAACTCTTGTGTGAATGCCTGTACTAAGACAGCAATATCTCCGCCAATTCGCTGCTATATTTCCTGCAACTTGTGTGGCATGATATAGACATCAATAAGAACTTGTTCAGGGGAAAGATTTGGTGGAGTTTCACTGCCAGCGCATCGAATAAGAAGGGATATCCCGCCATCAAGACAGTCTGGCATGGTGAGCTGAAAAAATGTTGTGAGTTTTGAGAAAAGAATCAAGAGAATGACTGACTGCGTCAAAGACATCCTGGGTGGCTGCCTCAAGCAGCTCGCTGTGAGTAAGGGACTGCTCTTCTGCCTCATTCACATTGCTTAACAGATGGAAGCTGATGTATGATGGGTGAAGACCCCCCAATGTTTTAGTCTGATAATGGGAGCTGTCGATAGGAGCATCATGCCTGAGCAAAGCTCATGCAACTGCTTGATCATGATGCTCATTGTTGCTAAAACCTGTGGCAAATGTAGAAGTATGATACAGTGCAGTGAGACCTGACATATTGAAGTGGCCGATCCATTCGTCACCTGGAGATGGCAAAGATGCCATGGAGTATGATGGCTTGAAGAGCAATAGAGATGGTGGATTCTTGATAGGTGTGCCAGTGGTGGAAAAGTTGTGTTTGCTAGCTCAACAAGTGCATGGTAGAAATTTAGAGTAATGGCAGCTGTAGTATTATTATGTACTAGTACACATAGATTAGTGGCTACATGTACTATCCCCAAATGCAATACTACCCAGCGCTCTATAATAATTTACAGTTGTATGCTACATTATGGCGCCATAGTTTACTACTGTACACTACATCTCTGAAGTCCTATATAGAATATCTACTGAGTTGTAACCCTATGGCACTATGGATGAGATGTAATGTACAGCAGTAATCTATAGCATCATAATGTAGGATACAACTGTGTATTATCTATTGTATAGTGTATAGATAATGTAGGCAACTGTGGAGGGATAGACAACAAGACAGAAACAATGAAACAAATCCACAGTTGTATCCTAAATTATGGCGCTATAGATTACTGCTGTACATTACATCTCATCCATAGCACCATAGAGTTACAACTCAGTAGATATTCTATATATGAACACTGTACATTACAATATCGATTGAGTATCACACATCCATTGCAAGTGTTTAGGGCAAAGTTATGAATTGCAAAGAGATATAGAACTAAAGGTACAAGTTGCGGTATGTACATGGTGCCTAAGTTAGTCGATGATTGACTGTAAAAAATCAGCCATGTCCTCCGTTAACGTGTCTTGCTCTTCATGATCAATGGCATCCATGTCTGTATCTTCAGTATCAATGATTGGCAAGATATGCGCAAGATCATTGGGTTGACCTGTGAAAACATTAGCACAACATCTGAGTTTACCAATAAAACATACCACGGTCAGCAACATCAGCAGCACGCTCAGCACGGACAATTCATCTTTGAGAAATTGAGAAAGATCTCCGTCAGTAAGACATAGCTCAGCTTTGATGGTAGCTAGCTCAGCAGTGAGCGTCTAGATAGAGTTTAGTAGTGCCTCGTGATAGTGGTTCCAAATGAAATTGCCTGGCAGAATCAGTGGCGAAATTAGAAGACTTCAAGGTAACAATATTTACTCACTGAGAGTGGTGTACTTGTCAGCATCCCAAAATGAAAAATGTTCTTTGATAGTCCAGTGGAATGGACTTGTGTGTCTTGTGCTACAAGCAAGCTCATTCAATGAGGAGAACACATGTTTGCACCCTTCGCCCTCGGTGTGTCCAGTTCCCGGAATGTACATGGGATGCCAGTCTAGCTGGCACTTACAATTATGGGCATGTCCATGAAACACGCCCACCATGAGATGAAGGTCTAACTCGCGTGCTCGCATACCCAAGGAACTGTTTGTCAGCGTCTTTGAAAAAGTGCATCCGATATCATATGCACAGCCGCTGTTTTCCCCATATATGGCAAGGAGCTTCTCAATTCTAGCCAGCGGGTATTTCACTCTACTGTGAATCAGTGCTAGTTAAGATGAGCTAAGAAAGAACTTAACAATTCTCCATTCCATATCATGTTGCAGGCTAGAACAACAAACCTATGATGGCACACTGCAATAAAGATCCCAGATTGATCAAAGACTGCGGCAAACATTTTTTTGCAAGTGTCCAGACCAGCATTATGCCATTGGTTGACGCAATTGAGTGCTGGGGTGGTGCCCTCAGCTGTGATCATTTCATCCTCCCAGTTATTGTCATTTGTATCCCTCTGCATAGTATGGTCAGACTCTAGTTGCACAAAGAGAGACTCATCTTATCTCTTGTGTTTTGACTTCATCCTTAAACTGGTCTACATCGCAAGGATCAAGCCAATAATCTGACCAGGCCTTACAAGAATCAATGTGTTGGTTCGAGCTGTAAATACTGGAGTCCCAGCATTTCAAACTGTTATTGCTGTTGATGGATACCAGCTGGTCAAATTGTAGCACTAGCTCATCCTCTAGCTTATAGAAGCAAGCCAGGCATGAATTGAGCATGCGCCAGTCCAGCGTGTCATGATTGAGTGCTGCCAAAAGACATTGTTTCACACGGTGAAGTATTTCTAGATAGATGTCGAAAGCAGCTGAGAATTGTATGTTGAGGTATGGCTGATAGGGAGTCTATTACAGCAGGTTTAGATCAGTCAAATAATGTAATGTACACGTACATTGTGCAGGAAACAGAGACTTTTCACTTGCACTTGAATGCTGAATCGGGGACATGAGCGATGCATTTGACGGTATGCAGCAAGAGTGCACAGTGAGATAGCAGCCGTACAAGGATATAGTAGTGGCGCACACCCGATGTAACCATGATGAATTAACTTGAAGGCCCGATCATTCGGGTATCTGCCATGGAAGGGTTGTGAGTGAAGTGAAGAGTGGCTTTGCTCTGAAAGTGAATTAGCACACATAGTAGATTTGGAATGTTCATAAAACATACTAAAAAGGTCAATAAGTTCTATGTTAGTTAATGAAACACTGGAAGAATAGTCCGGAAGTGGCTCTGCAGGCATGTCGTCAAAGGTCGGTAAACCATCTCCTGAATCATGGAAGTGGTAGTCCAGGTAAGCATCCATGAGCAAGTCTATTTGAAGATGCCAGTGATTTGTTTGGCTGTATGTGCGGTCCTCCTGAGTATGGAGATCAATATCATATGATAGTGGCTGGTGAATGGCATGAGCAACAATAGAGACAGATGAAAAAAATATGTACTAGCCACTAATGTCCGCTATTTGACCAGCCAGTCCTTCAAATGCCTCGTGTTCCCCACTGCCTGCATGGCTCCATTCCATCCCTTCCTCTCCTGGAGGTGCAGTGTATGGTATGGCTTCGACATCCATTCCATAGTAGTCAGTCATCATGCTCTCCACCAACCAGTGGCGTTCCTCGCTCGACATCTCTAAGAGAAATTACCGTTAGTTAGAAGCAAGTGATAAAAATGTGAAGATATACCTTGGACTAGAGCCTGACGGCTTACATTCACTGCCTCCTTGCATTGAAGCTGATGGTTAGCTATCAGGATATGAGTCTGGCAATATCGCCCTCGAACATCATGTGAGTAGGGAACTGCACGGTGTAGATGAGGAATCTTGACTATACGTGAAAACACTTACAACTAAAGGGTACTCAACAGCAAGACCGGGATACGAGACAACAACTCGACCCAAAGGACAACCACTGAGAGAAGTTCCTCGAAATAAAAGTGGAGGGAAACTCTATGAGCTAGGCGGGCGCTAACAGGTGCAAGAAGGTAACGCGCGCGAAGGCACGCGAGATGCGCGCGTGAGCGGGAGGTTCGAGAATGCGCGCGCACAAAGTGAAGGCGCGCCTAGAGCGTTAAAAGAAAGATCCTATTGAGGAGTGGATGCACAGATGGATGATTGACAGGAGAATCAGATCGGATAACAAGTGAGGAGGTGATCTATACACTTTCCAGTACACAAAGATAAGGGGAAAGTAAGTACCAGAACCAAAAGAAACCCTTCTGTATTTAAGAATGGAGATTACGCTAAGTGGCGCGCTTCCGAGCACGCTCCCGAACCAAGTAACCATATCAACTCTAATTATAACTAAGTTTAAATAGACTTTCTATATGTAGCACGGACGTCGGACCGAAGATTTCATTAGTTCAATGGATGAGATAGGAATAACGCACCAGCAAATCAGTAAGGACATAGGACAAATGGATGGACAATAGCACGAAGACCTAGGAGGAGGCGCGCATAGCGCGTGTGCAGGTAAGGCGCGCCTAAGTGCGCACGAGTACGGATGAGGCGCGCACGAGACTGGTCCTTAGGATTAGAGCTGTATTATTTAGGAATGTATGGGTAAAGGCCGGATACTCGGCATTGAGACGCACAAGTCTCTACAACAGGTAAACCCGTGGGTGTGCGCAGTTGGACCTGTACCCGTACCCGGAGATATACCCATACCCGTGGTGCAGGTACGGGTTTGCTTGCGGGTATCAGCGAGACAGACCCGGGGTATTACCCGCAAGGGGTATACCCACGGGTCACTACGAAGAGCATTGTAATGAATTGTAACGACAAATGTAATACTAATCTACTTGGATTCTGTCCCAACCCTCATCCATTGCTTCCTCTTCACCAACAACATCTGGGAGCTTAGACACGTGAATGATATCCTCAGATTTTACCAGGCCTAACTCGTTCCATAAGCCGACACAAAGCAGCGCACATGTCGATTGCACCGATAAATGATTTCTGACATGTGACAGGACAAGACACCCGCGACTGAAGAGACGTTCAACATCTACAGAAGTAGCTATAGGCAATGTAAGCTTACAATGAATTAAACATAATAATGCCACATACCAGGGATAGTTAGATAATCAATGGCCATGCGTGACAGGTGGGGGAATGATTTGCGAAGTTCTTGCCACCAAGTGATAGGGTTGGTGACATGTTCCACATCCGTACTAAGGTAACGGTCGAGTTTGGAGCCCAAGTTAGTAGGTTTGGGGACTGCAAGTGCGGGGAGGTTGTCAAAAATGTTGTTGCTCTAAGATTGAGTCAGTACAAATGCTAATTAAAAAGCAAAAAAGAAAAATACCATCAATATATTACCATTTGACTCCAAGACATCCACCTCACACCCCAAATCAGAGTCGGCATCAAGGGACAGGTATGAACGTTCGAATTCCTTGCGCACAAGTTGCTCCGCAGTTTGGATTTAGTTGTCTTCCCAGTCTGCTGCCTTGAAGTATAATAGCTTGTGTTGGGGATGTAATACTAGTATAATAATATTAACCGTCAGTAGAAACTAGAAAAAACCTAGATTGAATAGAACTTACCCATGGAGATCCGATATGTGTGAGACCTGTCTGTGAGCTGATACTAGTACCGGTTGAGTGTCTTTTTTGTGAGCTGAACTGCTGAATGAATTGAAGGCAGATATTTCTTGTTGCACGAATAGGACATGAGCATCTTGTCGACGTGATCCATTGCTGGTATCACTGTCGCAAGGTTAGTAGGTGTTGCACGCGAGAAGTAAAGTGTAGCGTCCTTTAGAATCTAACAAGAGCAAACAATATAACATAAGCATATGTGCCAAAGCGTCAAACAAAGAGTGCAAACCTTTAGTATATCACGCAATTGCTGTAGTATTTCCCACTCATTATCCTTCAACTCATACTTCCGTAAACCCAGGTCTCGCTGTTGCATAACGGTATCTACGGCCTCATGATGTTCAAGTGCGTAGTCCAACATATCAAATGTCGAATTCCACTGTGTGGCCACATCGCGTGGCATGAGGGTTTGGGGTTCCGACAAGTCCTTGAGGATGGCATGCCATGCGGGAAGGATGATAGTAGTCGAATGTATGGTCTTGTATGCGAGCTTGCGCACCTGGAGCAATTGTGTTCAATAGTGAGTCTCTTTTGTTGCGTGCACTTACTTTGACAAGTGCTAATTTGACTGGTCTTATCTCTTTGTTTAGTGCGGCCCGCTCTTTCTTGTCCAACAACTCGACCTCGTCAACAAAGCCATCATCATTATCTACCTCATCCGTCGTCCCTGTGTCCTCTTCCATATCTGCACTAAGTTCTTCCAGCTCCATGTCAGTACTGTCAGTACTATGTGCCAATGCTTGGTCAGCCTCTCCTTTCTTCACATCGAATTCCCAGATCAACAATTTGGCCACCAGGTTTACAGTGTGGAGGTTTGAAACACCTAGTGTGAGTGGTTGGTCTGCCGAATTCCAGTACCTTACTGCTCAGTTCACGAATAATTGCATCATTGTTGAATGCATTATCACAAGTGACGCTCAGGATCTGTGCAATGCGGTTTTACTGGCATGTAAGTTTGTTCAATTTTTTTTTGGATCAATACCTTTTCTGATATACTGAATTCTTCTAGCACTTTTGCAAACGCCTCCGCGAGCTCCTCACTGGTATGCAACTCTGAAGCTCTCAGCTCGTATATATCTATATAGGTGAGTTTTTTTTACCTTCCCCACTTCAACAACATCTAACAGGATGCTTAGTGGTTCCCCCTCATGCTCGAAGTGCACTGAAAATGCGACCAATGCACGATGGTTGGGTGATGACCAACCATCAGTAGTAAAGTTTATTTTACTGTCATATTCCTGGTGTGTTTTGAATATTCATTTTTTATTAATGATAAATACTTACCTGTAACATTGTAGCAACACGCTGTCGAGTTCGCACAAATACTTGTCGCACATCACGTGAAACAGTGGAGGCAGAAGGTATGTAATATTCCGGTCTCCCTGTCTTCATCAGCAACTGAAATGCACAGTCCTTCAAGACGATATCAAATGGACGCAGGCTCTCAGACACCCAGCTCACTATTTTGGCCCTGAAGGCAGATGTTTCAGTCCAAGACTTGGCAGATAAGACTTTGTTTGTACTGTGTTTCTGCATGTGTATGTTGACGGTGCGAGTATGTAACTTTCCCTTTACCCTTACGTTCGAATGACGCAGTGATTGTTCCATTTTGCAGGAAACTACCAACTATTTTTTGGCGCACCTCGTTGGCATCCTTGGCCTCATCTGCAGCTTTCAACACTTCTTCGCCCCAGCACAAACACACATGCTTCAGCATGTTACCGGTGGAGCATGCATCACCTTTGTCAAGGTATCATCACACTTTGGTCTTGCAATTCCTGGCTTGGCACTTGAAGTTATGGGCACGGTGCCCATCAAGTTCCGTAATCTGTGGAATCGGATTGAAGAACGCGTACTAGACTGGTGAGTTCCAGTCCGTCCTTCATTAAGTGTGCTGTTTGGTACTCAATTAATGTAATGTTTACATCAAGGCTTCTGCACATACAAAGCTCATCTTCTGCAGTCTTGTCGGCTTCCACCTCAGCCTGTGATATGGTGCTACCGGTCTCAGTTTTGTCTTCGTTCATTATGTTCTCTTCCTCCTTGGTGCGCACCAGGGCACGCCAACTCGAGACTGAGTCTGGACATGGAGACACGGATGCTGTCCGTGAAGCTGTGACAAAGCTGTTTTTGTTGACCAGCTCATCTTCATCTGCAGACCCTACACTGCCGGTGAAAGTACTACCAGCCTGGAGGTTTGTTTTTGCCTTCTTAAGGTGTGTGTTTGCGCTATCTCCACCACCATCGTTTTTCCGCTTCTTTGATGACATTTTTAAACTCTTTTCTTCTAGAGCGGTGTAGAAACAACAATACAATGAGGAACAAAAGAAGCTCCTGACTGTATCTGTAAAAGTTGTAAGGTCGCGCGCTGCCTAGTCTGCGTTACTTGAGAAGCAAGTGCGTTCGACCCTATAGGGGAAGTGAGTGCAGCAAGGATCTAGAAGTGTGCGCTTAAGCGAAGCGCGAGAAAGCGCAGGAGCGCGCAAGGCGCAAAGGCGCGGGAACGCGCGCGCGTATTAGCGCGAAGCGCGGGAAAGCGCGCGTGTGTAAGCGGAAATAAGAGAGACTAAACTTATGTGAAGATATAAGCAAGATAAAGGATGTGAGATGTGTTGTGCTAATGAATAGATTTCTACTGCGACTTTCTAAGTAGTAAGTACTAGGTAAAGTTGGGTGAAAAGTAAGGTAAATAATAGTATGTACTGCTGGCGCTTATATAGCGCGCCTAAGCGCGCTCATGCGGAGCCGAAGCGCTACCGAGTAGGTATGTAAAAATATATATGAGTGAGAAACTATGATAAAAATAAAGGTGGAACTATGCTAATAAAGGAAATGGAAATATACGTACTAGGGAGCTTGGTGGACAGTGGATGGATGCATCTGGATGGCTGGCGCTATAGGGCGCGCAAGCGCGGGAACGCGTGCGCGCGTATACATCGTGAAGCGCGGGAATGGTGCGCGCATGGCGCGCGTTGCGCGGGAAAGCTGCGCGTCATATAGGAATCACTGTGGATGGTACACAGAGTGATGCTGCGAGTTGGTGCTGTATACTCCCTAGTGTAAAGCGCCATATCACACTATGAGATGCACGAGTCTCTACATCTCCCAGGGACTTAAATTCTGAGTGTCCCCACTCAGCGCGCGCATGGTGAGGATTTTGCGTGATAGTATGTGTGCGCGATGCCTGTATGATGCTTGGGTCGTTGGGCGATGAATGCGCAAGTGCAGGAATTATTGCGTGGATGTGCGTGAAGCGTGGGAAGTTGCGCGCATGGTACGCGCAAGGCGCGAGAATGTGCGCGCGCTATGCGTGAAGGCGCGGGAATGAAGCGTAGCATGGCAAATTGCAAGGGTGACTCTGGTGTGAATAGTGTTCCCTGGGTGTGAGGCGATGATGTGAGAGTGATATGGATGTGGCGCGCATATGGCATAAAGCGCGAGAAAGTGCGCGCGCGCAAGGCGCGAGAAAGCGCGTGAGTGTCGCATGTGTTGTATTGTGCGTATGATGCGAAGTGGTGCGGTCCAAGAGCGATCCAATCCAAGTCCAAACCAAGTCCTGCTAGGCGCGCTAAATATTAGGTGGTAAGGTTTGAACAGTGTGAGTAAAACTATATGTGAAAATGTGAAGGAAAAAATGGTAAACTTTGCGGATGTCCTATCCGACTTGTCTTCTTCGTGCGGCTGTCGACATCTACACCTTCCTATGAGCGAGGCGCAGGAAGCGCGCATGTGTGCGCGCGCGAGGCGTATGGGCGCGTGAATATTGCGCGCGTATGTGCGCGTGAGCGTGGGAAGACTGCGCGCATATGTGCGCGTTCTAAGGTAAAAAGGGCATGGTGCCGCATCATGCGTGCGAAGAGAAAATAATACTATTGAGCTACGCGGGCACAATCTAAGGTTGTTTTCTTGTTTTTGGCGACTCCTATGTGCATATATATCAGTAAGTTATTAGTTCTTTGGATGGCGTTATAATGAGAGAAAATAAAATGAAAGAGCGCTGGACGAAACCCAGGGTAAAACGAATGGTATCCTATGAAACAGCGATGGTATACGTTGTTCTTTGATGCGCAGCTGAGGCGCTTGATCCTCCTCCTTGAGCGCGTGCGAGTGCGCGTAATAGCGCACTTCGCGTCTCTTGCGAGCTAACGCGTTACCCAAGGTAGGGTTGGAATGTGTGAGGCTGGCGTGCTTGGGTGGGCTTGTGACTGGCAGAATGAATTCCTGCACAACGCGCTGCAGGTTGAAGGCGCGCCAATGGAAGGCGCTGCAAGGGGTGTAGGGGCACCCTACAAGCTGATAGGATGCGCGCGCCTTGGTGCGATTTCGCGCGAATTTGATTATATTGGCCGAACACGCGAGGAACGGCCACTTCTCTGTAAATGTGTTAGTGAGAAATGTATATAGTGAAGTATTAGGCGCAAATGTTGCGCCAATGGGCTGTAAGGGTGGTATATCAAGGCGCAATAGGCGCATAGGTGAAGGAGAATAGTGCGCATCAAGGCGCACAGGAATGAAATTGACATGGTAAGCAAAAGTGCGAAGAATGCGAATAAATGTGCGAAGTGCGAAGTTAAAGGTGATGATAGGGGGGTTAGGCGCATATGTATGTGTCAGGCGCGCGCCTATGTCGCGCCTGGATGTCTGATTGGAATATACCTTGTGTTGAATGATAGAAATGCGATTTAGAAGGGGAGAAGCGATAGAAATGCGGTAGCATGAAAACTCTGCTAAAATTATGAAAGCACGAGGCGCAGGAATGCGCGCACATATTGCGTGATGCGCGCGATCATGGCGCGTGAACAAGGGGTGGTGCGAAAATGAAATTACAGTGTTTGGAAGCGTCATATAGCTCCTTAAGAGCTTCAAACATGAAAAAGACAAAAAATGCGAAACAAGATGAGGAAAAATATACCGTGCCTCTAGGCGCGCGCATTGCGCGTCCTCAGGCGCAATATGGTGCGCCTGAGTCGCGCCAGGGTCGCCTGAGACATGCTCTGCTTGGTGGTTAGATGGCGTGATGCACGGATGCTTTACCGGTGCGCGATAGTCACTGGAAGCAAAAAGCGCGACATGCGCGCAATCGTTAGTGACAATTGGAGTTACCAGAGGCAAACTCTGGTTGATGCAAGGTGCAACTTGAGCCTCTGATGCGGTAGGAGGCTCCTCTATAGGCGCGCTAAGGTGCAATAGATGTTTAGGGTCATCCCTGACCTCTAATGATGCGAGCAGTGATGGTGATGGTGCGATTGGCGAGGTTTCTTCCTTAAGCGATGCGATAGCGAAGGGTGAGCGTGTTTCTAGCGGTGCATTAGTGTGCAATAGATGATTAGAGTCATCCCTGACTACTGGTGATTCGATAGCGGTAGGCGTGCGCAATGCGATAGCGATAGGCGCGCGCGATTCGAGCGATGGCGCGTTAGTGTGCAATAGATGATTAGAGTCATCCCTGACTTCTGGCGATATGATAGCGATGGGCGCGCGCGATGCGATAGCGATAGGCGCGCGTGTTTCAACTGGCGCGTTAGTGTGCAATAGATGTTTAGAGTCATCCCTGACTTCTGGCGCAATTGATGGTGATGGTGATGATGCGGATTGTGAAGGAGATGGTGCTGCTGAGGATGATGGTGAAGAGGCGCCTGCGGTGCGCTTCTGGTTGCGCTTAGCAAGCGCGCGCTCGAGTTCGTGATCTAAAGTGGTGCGTTCTGGTATG